ACGTGACACTGGTTGAAATTCACACAGTCCTTTAATCACTAACCACCTGACTGGAGTCATTAGCCTGTACTCACCTGGAGTGGTGAAGCAACTGTAAGAGACCTTCAGGTGTGAAGACCAGAGGTTCAGTAATCATGCTTAACCCTGCAGTGATCATACATCACATCCCTATTAAAGACTCAGATCAAAGAGATTTTCAGCAGCTCTCACCATTACTAGGACCTTTCCTGCTCGAAACAGAACAGTTCTCCAGACTTCAAAGGACCTCCAAGAGGTGGGGATCATTGTATTCATCGCTGGTTTTCAATTCAAAATTGTTGAGCCATAGAGAAAAAGAACAGTTGAGGCTGGACACTCCAAACACTCTCAATTTTCTTCTTAATAGTTTTCTTGAAGTCGGCATGAAACGGAAGAAGTGACAGATATTTTCTTCCACATTGTGACATACATCTGAGTGTAACAGAATACTTAAAAAGCAAAATCATAGAGCGGTTGGTTCTATATATCAGTTGTTGATTGGATTTTGAGATATAAGCATTGCAAAAATGAATGAGAGCTTGCCATCGACTGTGGAGGGCCGGGGTTTTAGCTTAAATGTAGTAAATGAGAATTTTTTTTTGTTAAAAATATTTTAAGTTTCCTCTTAGTACTTCTTAGGTCCTCTTGCCTTTGTATGGACCTTTTTCACATTTCCAAGGTTCTCAGAAGCGGAAGTCGTTATAGTTGGGTAAATTTCTGGAGGATGGAACATGTTCTTTTCTTTTCTACTACTACTATGACGATGTCAAAACTGATATGGCATTTTTCAAAAATTGCACTTAATTATGAACTTCTCACAATTTATCCTAAGAACTGTAATTTCTGTCTCAAGACTTCTGGGTAATGAATCCATAGCACTAAAGTTATTAGAGTTATAGGTCACAGCAGGGCCGGAGTGGGACTCATTTTCAGCCCTGGAGTTTTATGCCTTACCGGCCCACTTTTTTCTCTTTTTGATCTATTATTCGCTCGCATATCTCCTACAACTGAGGCTTTTGTTTTTGTTTTTTTGAGCAAGGTGCCACTGTCAGGGGAGTCAAAAGATAATTACATCATCATTAGGGTTGCCAATTAACTTCAGAAATGGAAAATAAGGGCTAATTGTGATTCTTTATCTTTTATTCTTTAAGAAAATAGTGTTTATTCTTGTAGAAAATAAGTGTTTATTCTTTAAGAAAATAAGGGACAGAATAAGGGATGATCTAAATATTTGTACTGTACAATAATGTAGGCCTATATCTGCCTGCAGTTAAAAAGTTCTCAGAAATAATCACATTTGTTTTGCTTAACCCATTTATGTACAATTATTCTAAAAAACAAATTTAATGTCATTCAAAAAATGCCATCGGCCTGAGTAAATTTTACCATTATAGAATTGTGACTTTACAAGGGTGTAGTAATTTAGGAGGTGAAAACACTGTGAAATTACAAATGGCATGGAATTTGAAAGCATAACAACTGAAGGTCTATGAAACATCAGTCAATAAAGCATTTTTTTAAGCAATGGCACAAAGTTTTGAACTAAAATATTGTTTCAACCATATAGCCTGTGTATGAATAAAAATGCATACTTTTCAATGAAAGAACACTTAGAGTGTAGGTTGCTTTTGGTGCTTGGATTTGTACTTCAATATAATGAGGTCCAAGTTTAAGAATAGCCTACACTAGTTGTTTTTGTTTTTTTTCAATGTATTTTTTTCTCTCTCTATTTAACAGCATTAACTTACAATGAAATACGTCTTTGTTCAGGTAGACTGAATGTTTTCCTGTCTTGCTAAATGTTGGGCTCATGATCAATAAGTTGCATTCGCCCAAACTGATTTTGTAAAATCAAAACGCGGACAGTGAACCTGGGTGCAGTTAGTGCGAGTCGCGCTCACTGTGAAGCGGGAGCAGCCGGCAGAGGATTCCGCTTGGTCTTAAAGCCTTCCTCAAACGCCTACGTTCACAAATAACAATGATTTTCGCAAAAAGAATGATTAATTATCAATTGAGAATTTGTTATTATTATGGTCTGGTGAAATTAATAATATGGGCTGCGAGAAAATAATAAATAAAAAGAGTAGGGCTGCTGTGAGTGCAGGCAGCATATTTCAACCCAGTACCATGACAACACACCGGCCCTCGCGGCCAAAAAACAGACCGGCCCACCGGGAATCCTCCCGGTGCTCCCGATTAGCCAATCCAGGCCTGGGTCACAGTACTAAAGAATTTTGCTTTCGCTGTTCCAAGTCAATGGGAACCTAAACTGTTTGGTTAGAAACATTTTTCAAAATACTGAATCTCTTTTTGTGTTCAGCAGAAGAAAGAAATGCATACAGGTTTGGAACGACATGAGGGTGAGTAAATGATGACAGAATTTTCATTTTTGGGTGGACTATGCTTTTAATTTGTCAGAGTTTGCCTCTATCGTGCTTTGTCTACCAAAGTATAGTGGCTTTCTTTTCTTAGGGCCCATTTCTAGAGAGTTCATGAGTGTCTTTCTTCCTGATCTTGGAAATACAGGATATAGGCCAGCTTGTTTTTCCAAAAACCTTTCAAACATCTCAGTCCAACAAATTCAATTTATTGTTTGTCCCTGTTCTATGCCAAAGCTGAGAAATATCCCCTTATCCTGAAGCTTAAATCGCAATTTGATGTAATCGCTCTCATTTTAGCAGGCTTACTTACACTACTATAAATTAAACTTTAAGAAGAACTCATCAACCTTGCAAAGTTGGTTATTCGTATGCAAACGATAATATAATAACAGATCATTATTAAACGCATTTACTTTACTTATACTTCATTTTAGAAATGTTTTTAGGAACTTGCTTGCATGTATCTCAAACTACCTCCTGCAGTACGTTTCATTTTTTTCCACAGTCCATCTGAGGTCACAGCGCAAGAGCTCGCAGCAAAACAGGCAGTCTGAACACTTTCTGTGCCTGAAGTCCCACAGGGCCATTAACTGGTGTGTGATAGTATTACAACAGCTTCCAAGACAGAGGAAGAGTATTCCACAGTGATAATTTGAAGGAAGACTGGGAGAGGAAGTGTGTGGGTCGCAAAGAGAGAGAGAGAGAGAGAGAGAGAAAAGACGCAAGGCTCCTTTGGTGTTACTTCAAAGGAATGATGGCATCCTCAAATCATCTGATGCATTTAAGATGATGTAAGTACACACTTACAGTGCTTCTGGCACACGTGAAACATACCAGTACACTCGACTGTACGCTCACAGCAGAAACAGATAGTGAAATCAGTCATTTAAACAGCCTTATAGATGTACATGTAGGTCTTCACAGTATATCATTTCATGCAATAACTCACAACTGCAGTTGAGATCCCATTGCTTTCACTTTGTGTAGCAGCAGAACTTATGAATGAAAATATTAATTTAGCCACATAAATACACCACAAATGTAATAAAACTTCCATGTGGTCTATATTCACTGCTGCTCTTGTGGAAACTGAAATAAATATGCTAAATTTGTCACCAGAGAAAAAGTGCAACTTCTTTACATATCTGGGCAGGAGCAAAAAGGGATGCCTGCTTGCCAACCAAAATTAAATAAAGCATTCAGAGCTCTGTATATAAATTTAAAACTATAAGGAGGCAGCCCTGACACCCATTTTTGAAAAATCGTACTGAGGCAGACGGCTAAGCAAAAGAGCCCATAAATAAATGACATGCTCAAAAATACACACTACTGTAAATACATAAATAAGTTAAAAGATACTCCCCCAAAAACATAAGCAGAATATGAAGTTATTACAGCATAGAACTACATATTAATTATTCCTTCATCCTCCATTATATATTGTCCAGCCACTTCTGTAGATGTTGGACAAGTCAATATGAGCTCACTGCACGTTTACACCAATACAAAATGTCTTTCAAAATTTCAGTCCCTTTCAAAATGAACCTAGACAGCATATAAAGTATGTAATGTTGAATCTACACATTTCACCTTTCATAGAAATCACACACAAAATGCTGCAAGAAATCTAAATCTAGTCATCACTGACATTATTGAACCTGTTTGCTGAAATTTGGGATGGTAAATGTAGGACCCTATGAAACCAGTTTTATTTTTTCCCAAATTCCTTTTTATTTTTTTCTAAATTCAGTTTTTTTCTGTTTTAACGGTTAAATTAAATGTTATTAATCAAAAGCATGTCTAATTAATTGAAATCATGTAACTTACACAATTTAACAGCAATTTTCCATTTTTTCTGGATTCCATTTTAATGGTTTCATTAAATTTTAGTAATCAAAAGCATCCCTATTTAATTGATTTTATTAAAAAAATAATTTATTATTATAATTTTTTCCAGAAAATTGTGTATTTTCATTTTTCTGGTAAATAATTGTTATGGTAAAAATTATGTTTTAATAATAATTTTATTAGTAGTAGTAGTACTATCATTACATTAAGTAATATATTGCTGTCACAGTTTCTTCAAGTTAAACCAAACTTTTTATTTTGACGGGTTGCTGTAAAGACCTTTCATTTTCTTTTTGTAGAAAACGATTTTGTATAACGATAGATTTTCTCAAAACGTAAAATTTTCTCAAAATGGTAAAATGCTCATAAATGACTCTCGGAGAAGCTCTGGAGATTATGTTCATGTACTCATATACTGTTCATGTACTCATATACATGTGCACTTCAGTACATGTGTAGTAAATTAAACCGTGTGTCTGCACCATTCATTCACATAGAGACACGCAGAACATGCAAGATTCCATATCGCGTTTTCATTTAAGTGTACTGACCTACTTTTGATTTATTCATCCAAATGTGACATTCCGCATTATACAGTAATTTCCATTTTTATGGCCTGATTCCGTGATTCCGTCCGCGTTTTCCACATTGCGGAAATCATAGGGCCCTATAAATGTTGGTTTACATGACATGACATTGAGGTTACAGAAGGAAAGGGCAAGCGCTGCTTGCTTTGTTAGCTCCAATACTCACCTCAATGAGTTTACGCTCATAGCTGGCAGCCAGTTCCTCTATATCAGCCACAGACCGGTTTTGCAGGGCTGGAGGGGGACCGTCACAACTCCTTTGAATGGTTAATGCTGGGAAAAAATGTAACACACAGTAGGAAGTGCAATCAAATGAAAACAATAAAAACAATAAATAAAATAAAATAAAACATCTAAATATAACACAAAGATTTAAAATGAGGTAATTGTCTAAATGCTAAAATACTTTCTCCCACCCCAGTTTATTGTGCACAGTCAAACAAAAAGAGTGTAAATGTCGTGACACGTTCAGCTTTCAGTTCCAGCACAACCAATGGCATGAGTTGGGGCGTGTTTGATGAACATAGAAGACGAGGAGCAGAAGTACAGTATAAGATGTCTGGAAACAATTATTTTTGCATTCTGCAATTTGGTTGCACTAAAAGTGGAGAAATTACACACTTCAGCTTTAAGGCAAATTAGATTCAGAAATTTCATTTATATGATTATGTCTTGTAAATAGAGATGCACCGATTGCAATTTTCTTGGCCGATTCCGATTTCCGATTTTTTGGAAGTGTG